ACCCTTACCGACTCCGTGACTAGTAGTTACACTCCATGTATGAATCTTAAGTACCATCAAGACAGACATTTAGATCACTACAGTACTCCTTGTAGAATTTTATTAGTGTCAAAATATAGGAGAAAACAGAGCTAGGTTTCACAAATAAACAGACCAGATAAAAGTAGAGGGCAGGAAGCAGGATAGAGGATCTCAGTCGTGGGACTCTCCGAGTGTGTGTTTGTCAAAGAGGTATTCAGCCATGCCATTTTGTGGGGCTCCCATCTTGCGCAGGTTGGTCACATGATCACCCAGCTCCTTTATTGATTTTACTTGCTCATCCAAGTAATGAGTTTCAATGAAGTCACAAAGCTGCAGGAAAACAAAACATTATTACTTTTTAAAGACTTAAACAAAAATTGAAGATCTTTATAACCCCCTTGTGCATCAGCCCTCCCTATCCTGGAGCACACTTCCTTTGTAAACAATTAAAAGATTGCATTTATGGTGCCTGCTACCAGCACTCCTGTGAAGTGCTGTGTAGCAAGATCAGAAGCTGAACATGTCAACTCCTGGGCTGAGCACCAAGCTCCAACTATTGCCCCAATAGCCAGCAGTTTTAGCCCTTACGCTGGACAGGACCCAGAGATTGAATCCCTGCAGGGTTTTAAAATGGCACCAGGAAGCCAAGTGGTTAAATTGCACTGCTGGTGAAGTCTAACCTGCATCTACCTTCCTGGCTATGGCAGAGCAGTTAGGAAGATTTGATCCATTACTACATACCTTCAGTTTAAAACCTCCCCAGCCCCTCAGTCATCAACCCAAGTGACAGCACAGAAGGGAAGAGAAAGCTGCTACTGATCAAAAGTTTCTGCTATCTGAGCTTTGCAACAGTGTCCATTTTGTTGAAGGTTTAGCGGTTTCCTGCTTTTATGAAGCAAAAACAGGACATCAATGTGGAGTCAGAACTGTAGGTTTTATGTGTGAACCTGAAGACATACATTTGGACTGGGAATCTATACTCACATGGGGATCGTTGCGATCTGTAGACAATTTGTGCAGATCCAGCAGGGACTGGTTGACATTTTTCTCCAGCTGCAGAGCACATTCAAGAGCCTCCAAACCACTGCCCCACTCATCACGATCTGGCTTCTACAATTTGTGAAAAAATAAAATAGGAAAAAACATTAAAAAAAGGATTACTGTAAATAATTCTTATAGTTATCAATGACAGCACAGTGCCTAGCACCTTATAAATACACACCAGCTCACAGATTGGGGTAATTTGCTCCAATAAAACATGTCAGACAGCAGCTTCATCTACATCAAGAAACGCCCAAAAAGAATTCCTATGTACAACATCCATCTGATTACTTTATATTTGAATAAAGTAAACGCTGAACAAGTAGAGGTTAACATGCAACTGACAACCTGACAAGTCTTAAACAACCTGCTGCAACAGGTCTGGAAAACGGCTAGCGTCGTGTCTTGTAACAGCATGTGTACATTAAGAGTCCAATTATATAGACACACAGGGGACGACAGTAACTGAGGAATAGCTTCACAGCTGCCTCCACACGGGTATACATCCCAAGCAAAATGCAGTACATGCCAGGAGCCGCCACCCCCCCCCCTTTTGAAGGATGTTGGATGGGGGATCCAACATCCTTCAAAAAAAGAAAAAAAACTGAGCCAGGAAACAAAAAACCCACACATAATATTCAGAAGGCAGTTGATGTACAATTTCATCCTCCATTGACTTCCATTTCATTTTTCAAATCTTTATTTTAAACTAACATGTCCTGAGTGAACAAACATCTATGCATTTTTTTACTTCCGTTTAATTGCAATTACATGCGACAGATTGCAGTGATGTGAACTGGTTCCATTGGCACCCATACATTTCAGTGCCCATGTTTTACCATCCATTGAAAAATCATTTGCAACAATTTGCACTGGATCTGGTGGGAATGGGGCCTCTTTTTAAAAAGATTTAAAGGGATACATCATGAATTAACAGGCTTCTCTTTTACCCATCTACACTTAAAGCTGCAATTACTTTAGTTGCTTTGAGCATCTACAGTTTATAGTTTTCCCAACACTCACACCCCTTTGACTCATTTGCAACATGGAATCCCAGAAGCTGACAAGTTAGGGAGCACATTGTAGGCACAGAGTTTGTTTACCATAAAGCAAGTCTGCCAGTTCCAGTGTATGACAAAACAATGTCTAGACAATATACCCATGTTAAGCCCTGCACCTTATAATTACATCATGCTGCACATTAAAATGTTTGCTCAGTCACCTAGATGTCTGGCTTTCACAGGTACCGTACCTTTGTTATATAGCTGTAAGCCAATATGCATGTCCTGGTTGCATAACGTTTACTGCAGCCTTTGATTATATTCATCTTATACACCAATCTCATTTGAGCCAAGTTAGAATGGTTTCCTGACGTACCAGGTTTCAGAAGGCTCTCTAGACAGTTGTTTATTCATCAGTAGACAAGAGCAATACCTTTTATTACTGTGCCCAGCTGGGAGGTTTTGTATTGGAGGTTTCCTAGACTTTTCAATTTAAACTGCAACTTTAGTTCTAAACCTTACCAATGCTTTTCAGCTGCACTTAATTTTAGAGTGCTGGGTTCTCATTAAAGTGACACTAAACTCCAGAGTTAAACCCTAAAAATAAATTCAAGCACCTTATTAAAACAAAAATCTTGTGTATCACCCAGCTGTAGATCCTCAAATCTCTGAATTGGTGCCGACACAGTCCTTCCTTCTGGGTGGTGGCTACTTTTGTTCTGAGGTCCCTGTGTGTTGTAAAGTAGTCACCGCTCTGAGCTCACTTGTGTGATTGACTACAATCTCACATTTAGTTTACTACTTATTGAGATTGTAGTACCATCACAAGCTGCATTTTTGTTAGTTTGGGTACTTGAATACATTTTTAAAAGGTTAAACTCTTGCATTTAGTGTCACCAAGTATCAGTGTTGGATATGACTGAACAGGTGTTTAAAGGGCACTGCTTGACAAATCACAGAGGAGTGCAACATTTAGAACTATGAATGTTCCCAGTTACTGACGTGCCATGCTTTGTTCAGACTCCAATAAGGTGACATCACCAAATCTCCTGGGATTAGTAGTCAGGCATCAGTGCCTTAGATCTCACACTGCAGATATACAGCTATAATGCTGTAGCACAGGAGTGCCTAAGCTCACTTCCATACCAGAAAGTGCATTGCTATTTGAGGAATTCAAGGTACACATTTCAGGGCCCCGTTGGACACAATTACCATTTTTGGAGGTACCCTGAAACAAAGCAAAACCTATCTGAATTCAAGTCCACTTTGCTTGCTTTTACGGGAGGAATTTGTTTCACTTGCTTGGCTGCACATCTGTAGAGAAAAATCCTGCTCACCTTCACATCCTGCAAAAAAATCCTCCCTCCACGTTGGTTCTGCAGCTTCATAATTTTCTCTGCATGCTCACGTTCTTCATGAGATTGGTGAAGAAAATATTTTGCGAAGTTCTTCAGTGCCACATCGTCACGATCAAAGTAATAGGACTGGAGGAAACAATTAAGACACATGAGCCAAACACGTCAAAGCGAAGCACACTGCCAATGTTGGGGCACTTTAAATACTGCCATTTCTTTCAGCTGAGTGCATCTAAAAACAGAAGCCACCACACCCTAAAGATTAGCAGCTACAGGAACCTGCACATATATAGCTGCTCAAGGACGTCAGGAAACCTGCCCTAAGCGCTAGTTCACACCAGCCCCAGTGTGTTCCGGCCCGATTCAGTGCCAGAATGCACTGGATCGCATCCTGGCTTGCTCACTTTGTTTTGGGGCGGTAGGAGGCGTAGCTGTACAAACTTTGATAGAACACCGAATCAGGCTGGAATGCTTGGGGCTGGTGTGAAGTACCCCAATGCATATAGGTTCTTGCAAGCATTTCAGACTTTAGCATTTTGTTTTATTTTTAGCCAATGCAAAGCTTAAAATTACAGGGGGGGGTGTAAAGAACCCAGACTTCACAATACCATTACAGAAATAAACTGGAAATGTTTTGTTTAGGCATTAAAAAACCTGCAGGCTTTTACCCTTGATGTGATATACTGTATGGTGCAAGCAGCTTGGGCAAGATTCATCTTAAAGGTCAACTACACTTAAAAATGTACTTCCGCCTCCCAATTTGTTTTGGGTTGGTCAAATTACTGCAGGTATAGTCTCTTGAATATGGAAAGAGAGATGCAGCTCGCAAATCAGCAAGGACAGGTCACACCAGCCCATCTGCTGAGTTTGTGCACAGCGACTTGGTGGGATCCAGTACACTGCAATAAATGCATTTGATCACAGCATACTGCCCACTGCATTGCGAGCGTGACATAGAAATCAATTATTTTCTACGTGTCCTAGTGGTGACCAGCTTAGGTCTATGGGTGACCTGCAATGCACAGCTCTATGTGTGAATGGGCCCTTACTTCTTGAGACCCCAAACAGTTCCTACAAAACAGATTCCACAATAGGATCATAGAAGGGGAAGATCTGGGCCCCCTACTGCTCAATATTTTATGAATTATGTCAGATCGAGTGAGCACATTGAGTGCTGAGGATTGTGTGTATGGGAGTTAATGGAAATAAGCCTAGAAGGGTTTGTCTGTTGTAATGGAGAATATAGCTTGTAAATCTGATGTAGCACGAGTCCTATTAACACCAACCGCAATAGCAAAGGTCATAACATTAACCCGTGATGTTTCGTGCTGCTTAAGCTAAGTAGCACTGACAGGTGCAGTCACCAAGTACAGCACACAACGAATTGACTGAAGCCAAGCATACAGAAAATGCATTTCTCTTTTCAAGCACAGCTGCTCTTAGGTTTCCCTTCAAGGAACCCTTTTACCCAATATCCTTAAACCAACAGATAACACTTTACCGTTAACCACTCAACCTGGAAACTTGTACACACTGTGAACAATCACTTAGCCATAGATCTTTTCTGTGTGGTACAAGCCATTGTGAAGCTTCTGAATGCCCAGGTGCCAAACCTCACTGCCCAGTTATAAGGGAGGTTCAAATCTGCTACTATAGATGGGGCATGCTATATGTGTTACAATGGTTACATTGTGTAACCATTTAATACGAGGCTTCATTCAGACCCTGCCGTTCTATACTTTGTTTGTGAATGTTCAATGCTTCATTATGCCCAGCAGAGAGCACTGCGATGAACAGATATTGCCATCCATGCATCCCACGTGGTATGTAGGCCCACCCATCACATACACAAGCCCTCTTAGAGGTCAGAGCGTCTTTGTATCAGAATCTGCCACGAGGCAGCAACATAATGTGTTCAATATCGCTGACCCTTTCAGTGCCACAAACTGCTTCCTTTCGTTGGATAGCTAAACCCAGCCAATAACTGCAAAGCAAGCTGCTTGTATGTATTCTTCTGTACACACTTTACAGGCAATGGCTTAATGTATCTGCACTATACAAATCCCAGAGGACCGGTATACTAGATATCCAGACGCCGAGACCTGCATCACACTGACGTAAGCCACTCAGAGGCCTTGTGCTGACTGCACCATTACCAATCACTTCTCAAGGTCTATGCAAACAATACCTCTACATGGAAGCTGTAGTGCAGCTATTGATTACACGAATAAAAGGCAAATGTTTAATCAAATTGCATTGGTCTGGTCTCCCGTGCCAAATTACTGCCTACTGCCATTAGATAAGCAGACACCCTTCACCTAATCAGGTTCTGTAAACGCATGTTTGATTACGATATCAAAACTGACCTCATACACTACACATCATGCGACTCAGAGATAAGACTGAACTACACAGGGAGTAATCTGCAAGCAACTTCAGGCTCTGCTCATGAACACACATTCATGTATGTATAAGTATGTGCCCAGTACACGCCAGTGACTAAAAGGCATTTACTGGCCCCAAGATGTCATACGGTGCCTTAAAAACCCATTTAGAGCCAATATTACGACCCGCCTCAAGATGCAGTTTCATAATGGAAGACATTATAGAGAGCACCTAAAATAAAGGTTCCCCATCACACTCCAGCCAGCAAAAACTACTCAGGTTAAAAACGGAGGTCTTAGTTGCACTTCTGCAGAAAATGTGGAAGCCACACTGCCTCATCAAGGCTCCTCTGTGTAGTGTGGCCCTAACTCTAACCTATGAGAGCCTCCATTTTGGAGCATATAGCAAAGGATAAACTGGGTGCAGGTTTGCAGAGAGGCAGCCCAACCTCCTTAAAGGCACAGGGACAGTTTAAAGCCCATCCATATGCACCTTGCTTTGAAGCTAGTTGTGAATTGATGTGCGAGTGCCATTTGTTCTGCTTTATACTATAGAATACAATTTAGGTTAGAAAGCCCCATCAGCCACTTTTATCCTAATGCAGGCTTGCACTGTGTTAACACATTAAAGGGAATTTATCAAAAAGGAGGAGAATCTGGATCAGCGTCTATTTTCAAAGCCCATCTGAACAGACTGAAGATAGCAGCTGACTGGTTGCCATGGCAACTGCTCCAGTTTTGAATTCCCCAGATTGCACCAAATTTTAATACAGCAGGTTCCCTTTCCAGCTAGCAGCACATTGCAGAGAATGGTGGATTTAGCTTGTCATTGTGTTAGGCCTGTGTTGAGCAATGCAGCCCAATGCAGGTGGAGTGAACGGACCCATAAATAAGCCTGTCACAAACCCAAGCACTTAAAACTGAGAACATGACGACAGAAGCATAAGCAATGGTTACCTGCACATCAAAATGTGCCAGAAAGAAAAATGCAAATCTTTGACATTCCCCAGTCAGTAGAGCATTGCTCCCCCTCCATTCTGGTCAAAGAAACGCTAGATCTCATTAACAGTTCACGGTGGTCTGTGCCAGAGACAGGTTTGCCCTCACTTGCAGTCTGGTATCACATAACCATAAGTGAGGGGAAATCATTCTAACAGAGCCCTGGAGAGTAGTAGAGAGAATCCTTCCTCATGTATTATGTAGACGGCAAAGACTGTCCATCCTGTGTTCACAACACATCACAATCGCTGGACAGTCTACAAGAGGTTAAAGCACTCAGCATTAGACCATTAAAACCACCCACATAAGTCCTATGGTCATGGAAAGGCAAGAACCCTGACACATGGAAAGATGGCGGCCACTGAGAAGCAGTCTTCATAGAAATATGGCTACGAATTGCCACCTGGCAAAGCGAGCTAAGTCTTTACAATCATATTGTACACCTACCAACAACTCAACACCAGGATCTACCTGACTGGATGTAAATAGTCGTTGGTGAATCTAAAGCAGACTATCATGTGGCCTTATTAGGAACATGATCCCCATGTAATTTTTTTAAATTCCTTCTTACCACATACTCACTCAACAGATCAAGTGTTAATGTGTGGGGATCCAGCGATGCATGCCAGGCCCTGCGAAGCCATCTTCCTTTCCTTCATCATCCGGAGCTGGCTGGGTCTTCCTGATTCTTGCAGCCAGTCCAGATCACGCAGCATCAGGTCCTTCCTCCTGCACTGATCCCTCCTGGGATATGAGAGATACCCCTGGAGACTGCAGGGGCAGGACTGATGTAATTCTCCTCAAGGCAAGACTGAAGCCAGGGGATGGGGTAGAACACACCTCAAACAAACAAGTACCCTTGCATTGGAGCTCCCTCAACACTGGAAGGGTTAAATTGTGTTTTAGAGTAGCAGGAAAAGGGGGACTGGAAGCAGGGTGGACAGGAATGGCAACTATACATGCTCTATCCATCACCTACCCTGCAGCCAGCACTGCTCCTAAAATATGGGTGGGCCCTTGACATCATCTCTTCCAATGCAGGACCACCAGCTACACATTGTACATGAGGTCCTGCGGCCGATGGAGCAACTTCAGCGGACAGCCAGGCATCAGAGAGGAAGATTGCACAGACAAGGTTAAGCATAGTTGTATTTTACATTCCCTCTAGACAAAAGCAGCATTTAACGAGGGAGCCCCATTGCAAGAACCCCCCCCCAGAGTTCAGACTTAACATTGGAAGGCCCTCAAACAGGAACTTCACCCCCAGTTGTATTTTAGATTACAAGCCTCATTTACCTAGCTGTGTGGGTTCCAGTTGTGACCCATCACTCTACTTCTTGCCATCAACCCCCCCGGTGACACCACAGCACATTTTCTGGACACTGCCCCAAAGTCCCTGGTGTTGTGAGAAGAGAGTATCCCAGGAGGCTGAAAGCAGACAGGGTTAGGACATTCTCACCAAGGCAGGAATGCCAGATGCAAGGAGCCACTTATAAACAACAACCAGGGCCTACTAATGTGCACACAAATCTGCTGTTAGTGTACAGAAACCTACAAGGGCCATATTACAGCCACTGTGGCACTACAAGTCAAAGGAAAGCCCTGCCTGGACAAGCTTGGGCACGGCAAGTCTCAGGAAAGCCCTGCCTGGACAAGCTTGGGCACGGCAAGTCTCAGGAAAGCCCTGCCAGGGCAAGCTGTGGCACGGCAAGTCTCAGGAAAGCCCTGCCAGGGCAAGCTGTGGCACGGCAAGTCTAAGGAAGCCCTGCCTGGAATAGCAGAACACAGAGAGCCTGCTGTTTACACAAGAGCGGTTACAAACCCTGGCTGCCTGTCACTGCACTACCAGTCTATTGGCTGCTGTGGCACAGAACATACGCACCATAGATAGGTACACGTAGGAGGCATAGAGCTCTAGGTTGACCTGGCGGTTGAGGGCAGCCTCGCAGTCCTGGTGGAAATTCTGGCGAACTTGGGAGCTCATGGTGTCGAATGGTGGGTTCCGTCCAATCACTGTTGAAGCGCCAACCCAGTAACGTCTATTTCGCGAACGAGCAATCTAATGCAGCACCCGTCTACCTGTCTCTTATACTGGACGAAAGTCTACGCCCCCTAGCGCTGCACACTGCCCCCACCCCCTGGTGGAAACCTGAGACGTGAGGGAGGAACGGGAAGCCATCTTTGTTGAGGGGGGGAAAAATATGTATTATGTTATAATATTGCCGTGTTATGATAGTATAATAAATACTGAGTCGTGAGACGTGCTTGCACACCTAAAGGCAATTATATATAGCATAGAATCTCATGGCTGGTGATGCTTAACAGTTTATATTGAGCTGTTCTTCCAGTATCTAAAATGGAGAGTCCAGGATTCAGTCACGTGGTCGTAATTTACACAACTAAACATGTTTTTGTAATACTGGCAAGCACGCTAGAGAGTCATGGCTTGTTATGAAACACATGGTGACACAGACTGCAATCCTGTGATGATTGTGTATGGTGGACAGGTTTTCATAATTACAGTTCTACCAGTCAGTCAGCTTACATAAATTTGGGACATTAGTATTTTTTTCATGTTATATAGTAAATTCAGTCAGAAACATACTGACAGGGTCACTAAATGCTAATCTAAAAAACAAATCCAGAGTACTATAACACTGGGCATTTTAATAGAATGCAAAATATTTCTTCCATATACAGTTCTTTCTTACGGTAAAGGATTGCTCGGTACTCCCCTGGTAGCATTTTGCTGTCAACTTCTGCTCTGCGGTTGCAAGAAATGCACGTTTATTGCAGTCACGTGCAACTCTCTTCTACATTTCCCTTTTATCAACATGTCCGGCACATTTACTGTGCATGTATCCACATTATTGTAGTTCTGTTCATGCTGTCTAGCTCTACATCTTGTGGGAGACGATTTGGAAATCTACGGTCGGGCCTCGTTGGAAATCTACATCCGGGCTGTGCTGGCCATTTATTCCAGAGCAGCCCAAATGCATGACAAGGCAAATTGCCTTATCATGAATGGTCTCAGCTCACTCCACCACGTTATGGTGATGTGCACTTAAAAAAAGTATGACATGCAGGACTTTTTCTAAGCGCACCACAGTGACACACGGTACAACCACATTGCACTGTGGTGAGCCCAAAACACTAACAGAGTTATTCACAAAAGGGTGAAGAGTTTGGAGAAGGCAGGAGAAGTGAACAATCTAGGACAAAATTGCTGATTTGGAAAAATTCTCCAATTCATCACACTTTCCAGCTCAGCGATGTTGTCCTAGATTGATCACTTCTCCTGCCTTCTCCAAACTCTTCACCCTTTTGTGAATAACCCTGTAAATAAAATGTAACTTGTGACATTTCAGTAAAGTTCGACAAATAAAAATAAGAAAGTGCGAGTGCATTGACACCATTTGAGGACATGCATACCAGCAGCCATGAGGTTGAGCGTGGCCGCTGGTGCAAATGTACCCTTCGGGTGGGGTGGAAAATCTAGTTGTGTAACGACAATAGTTATGCAACTTATGCTTTGCATGGTTATGCTTTGCATGGTTCAGTTCAAGGGCTTGTTCACACCATAAGCAGTCCGTTCCAGAGCGGTCAGCTGCTGGAAAGCACTGTATCGCATCTCGGCTGGCTTTCTGGAGGGGGCATGGCTGGGGTGTCATTTCAATGCAGCCCGCAGTGCGTTCGCCTGCACCAGAACAGTTCCGGTCCAGAGCGATCTGAAAATAATAGTGCTCCCCCTCCCACCCCTGAATGCAGAAAGTCGGCCTTGAGGCAATACAGTGCGTTCCAGCAGCTGACCGCTCTGGAACGCAGTGTTTATGGTGTGAACAAGCCCTAACAGAGAGCGCAAATGCCCAAATCAGCGGACAATATTCCTATTTAAAGGAGGTTAAAGTCTCAGCATATCCTCTCCTGTTATAACATCAGCATTGTAATAGGCAGTGGCGTCACAAGGGGGGTGCGGCCCGCACCCGGGGGCACCCGGGTGACACCATTGGAGGGGTGACACGAAAATGACTGACAGTCATTTTGGTGTCACCCCCCTCTGAAAAGTCGGGCGCTCAGTCATGGACCGAACGCCCGACAGTATCAGGAGAGAGAGGAGGGGACCCGGCGGCATACCTTATCCCGCCGGGTGACTGTCCCCTCCTCTCCCTGCCCTCCGTCCATCACCAAGATGGCCGCCGGCAGGTATCAGAAGATCGACGCGCTTGCGCGATGACGTCATTGCGTGCGGTGATGTCTCGGCGAGTGGGCGGGGTGACATCCGGTTACCGCTCCGGGTGTCACCAAGCCTCGGGACGCCCCTGGTAATAGGAATACATACTGGAGTTGTTTCTGATAATGCAATAAAAGCTTACTTGAAAAAAATCCCTTTTATGGAGTGAGTACTGCCTCCTGTCTGCCCATCACTTTCATCACTTTCCTGGATTCCCAGTGTGCTTTGCATCTCTTTCCCTGCTGCTCGATGTGATGCAATCTCAATTTATCAAGACTACATGTCCCATGAGGTATTGCTCCCAGCAAGTAATGATAATGTTACATTGTTCAGACAGATTTGTAGTTCAGATGGCGGGCTATGTAAGAGATGTGACTCAAGCAAGTGCATATTCACAGGGCATATTCAATAAGTAAGTGTACAAACTTCTAGATGGATATGGTTATTTGGAGTGGGAGAGAACTTATAGAATTTCGATATAGATATACAGATTTACTTTTTAGTTTTTGACCACAGATACCCTTTAAAAGTAAGGGATGTCCTGGACGGGCCTGGGTTGCAGTGGGTCACCATCTCAGGAAAATAATATTATCAAATTTCTGCCCAGATACCACGGTTGACAATTTCCGTCCTTTGCCAACTTGCGCCCTTTTGGAAATAGGAGTGAAAAAAAGTGTTTCCTTGGTAAAAACAGATAGTTGGTGACCCTAATGGCCATGTCCGAGGGGCGGTTATTTTTTTGCAGCAATTCCTTTCTGGATAATACCTCTTCAAACCTCTCCACACTATGGGGTCTCTTTTTAAACAATTTGTAGAAGAGACATACTATGGGCTTAAGTTATACAACTTCTGCCCAGTGTATGCATACGGCATTAGATGGCGTTGACGAGCATAGAAATTTCCTATATTTGTACATTTAGTGTACATTTCCGGCATGTGCCAGGTGCCAGGATGAAGAAATGGGCATGCTCGGGAATTATGTCATTCCAGGCCAGCCAATTAAGATGGCTGAAGAAGCTGAACCCAGAAGAAGCCAGGTAGAAGATGCCAGTGCTGGCAAAATCAGCTGGTCCCCTGAGCACTGGCCCTGATATCCTGTTTTAGGGTGGCTCCTTTCCCTTGCAGGGTCCTATAGAGCCACCCTCGTGTGTGCTAGTAAGCTTTGTGTGTCCACAAACATACAGACACAGCAAGGCAAGATACTCCCCACTCCTCCGTCCTCCTGCTCCCTTCTCCAAGCTAGTAGATGGGCAGCTGCTGGAGAATGCTCTGTTACTTGTCGTTCTTGTACTAGACAGGAAGTTCAGGGAAACCGAGCTGAGAGAGTTGGAGCTGTTCAAAAACATGATGATTGTAAGTGCTTGGGCACAAGTTTAAAGTAATACATTGTTGGGCAATGCTTATTTGTTTAATCTGTATTCATTACTGGAAAAAAAAAAAAGGTTAAGCGAGCTTAATACTACTTTAATACTGCTTAGCAGCTAAACAGCTAGTACTCTCAGAAGGGGCCAGCAATGACAGGCGTCACACAATGTTTATATATGTGTCTATGAACTTTCTTGCAAGTCACCCTTGTATAACAATAAAAAAGTGTTACACAAGGGATAGAACGAGAGACAGCTGACTCTGTTGTGCAACTATTGTAAACATAACGCTTGAATGGAGCTGTCAGAAAAGGTGTGTTCTAATTGGTGCATATACTAAAATGTAATCAGTGCACTGGCATCCATGGAATCTTCATAGCAGGTTGAACAGACAAAATGTGTACAAGGCAGTTTTTGGCAAAGAATCACAACAGGCTCCGTTCAAACGGCCACTCCCCAACATACCACTGTATGCCCATGACCTGAATAGGCAATGGCTTATTAGGTTTAGTGCCACTGCCCTGGGATTATACTGTATATGTCACATGAGTTGGAGAGTATCGTCATTTATGAGACGCTCATGACACACAGATAGTTTGATTTGTGCATAGTCTATTTAAGATGCAAATGCACTTTTAGCGCATTTACTTTTAGTGGGCTCCAATGTACTTCCCAACAGTCCTTGGAAGCAACATACTTACCTGTCCCCGCTCCGCTAGGATCTATGCTGGTTGCCGTGCTACAGAGCCATCCTCACTGTTGCACCCAGCTTCTCCCATACTTGCATGATGTGTTCTCTCTATTTCATCCAATGGAAAGTGTATAATGTGTCCTGAGTAGATTACGTACTTTCCATTGGATTGAACATTGGAGCTTATTAAGGGTAAGTGCGCTGAAAATTCACATACACTTTGAAGTGGCTTTTTTCATTGAAGTAATCAATAAACAACAAAAAACTCCCATTAAAGGACCACACGGCATGACGGGGAGCACAGGTATGCGACACACCCAGAAATGCTCAGCAACAGAGCTAAGAGTCTATGAAAGGGAGCTGTAACAGGTACGTACAGGTATGTAAAACGTGTCTTCTTTTACAAGGGCTTTTTATGTATCTTAGCAAAAGGGCTGCTTTAGCCAGTTCCTCTTTGGCAGTTGTTTAATCGCTGGCCATTCACCCATTGTATATAAACGGAGGGACTGCTCACTTGTGGATGCGGATCGCCGTACTTTGAGGGCACTTTCTTTTTCTGCTGTCCCACACCCCCTAGCACAGGGATCAAAATTTCCACTCGCCCCCCCGCAATTGGCCGCCAGCAGGACGAGGGGCCGCCAGCAGGACCCGTTCAGCCCTCCCCCCTACTCTTCTCCTCTTCGGCCTCTTTATAGCTGCAGCGGCCGTGGAGGAGAAGGGAAAGGAGAATGTTCAGCTGTCTGTCCGTCATCTCCAGTCTTCCTCCGCCCACGTTAGCTGCCATTGCCATAGGCTGGGAGGAAGACT